GAGAGAGAGAGATGCAGAAATGCAGAGCACAGACACAGACAGAGAGAGAAAGAAGAGATTTTTATAGAAAAGTAAAAGGTGAAACACAGAACTGCAAAAGAAAAAAAAAAGACTACTTTTCACGCGCAAACGAGTATTTCGAGTTTTATCGTTAACTTTCAACGCGACACTCGAGGCTCTTGGTATTAAATAAATAAATAAATAAAACGTATTATATCGAAATTTTTTTTTTTTTAAATCGTATTTCTGTTAATATTTCTCTCGCTCGGTTGATAACGACTTTTATTATTAATACCATTATACACGCATTGTCCCGAACACGATTAACTCTTAACTTATTATCTAGCATACTCGTGTCCTATCTACAATGCAAATGCACAATTTTAACTAAAGCTGGAAGTATAGTATCGAGGAATAATTAGAAATATAAATAACTTTGCTCGAGGAATAATAATAATAATTTGTAAATTTCAAAGAGAACAGCGAGTGGAGTGAGCGAGTAAAAATAGAAGGAGCGATAAGTAAATGAATATTGATCTGTGTAATGTAAGAAAAATAAATGTCCCGTTATCACGAAATTCGCGAACGAAGAGGATACGACGCGTTGCCGCTATTATTACTACTACTATTGAAAGATACGTGAAAGTTACGTGGAGACCAACACCACAACACGATGCATCTTCAAAGGGTGCATGCGAAGTTGAAGGTGAAGGGTAGTCGGCCAACGCAGTCCCAACGCCATTAAAACACTTTCACAAAGGTGATTTATGATTCCATCGGTTGAAGTCTGTTCACCCTGTGCGGTGAACACACAAAATGGATAGCGCATTCACCGTTTAATATGCATATACGTATTGTTGGTAAGGTTCCTTGACCACGCGTGTCTCACCAACGAATCGAAGAGTCTGCAGGAAATCTATATCACTGTCATCGGATATCTATCTGGTGAATGTACAAGCTGATTAATTCAAACATAAAATTACCAACAATACAACTTGGAAAATCGGGTATATCGGGTTTATAAATTTATTTCACTTTGTTATTCGGGGAATTGATTAGAATTATTCGAAGGAAAAAGCTTTTTTAAATTAGCATTTATTTTGATTGATATTTCTAAAAAAAATATTTAGAATTAATTTAATTCAACAGATGGAAATCTTTTCTTTTTCTTTCTTTTTCTTTTTCTTTTTTTTCTTCTATAAAAATATAAAATCGATCCTTTCCTCACGCTGCTTTTATAAATTTTAATTTGAAAGTAAAATTATTTTACGAATAACATTGTTTCCCTATTTCTAAAAACAATATTATAATTGAGCCATTCGTTTTATATAAAGATTTTATTTTATTTTATTTTTTTTTTTTTTTCAGATTTGGAAGAAAATATTCGTGGCAGTCTAGAGTACGAATAATTTTTCTTTCTTTTTTTTTTTTTTCTTTTCCTCTCCTTCCTCCTTCTTCTTGCAACATCAGTTGTTAAATAACAGATAACGTGTGTTGCTTATCGTTGCTTAACAATTTCATTTCACGCGAAATAGTGCTTATCGCCGTGTTGTGTATTTACAAATAGCCGAATCAAATTTTAGATACACGATAGGAACGATAACAAGTTTGTCACACGTTTCA